TCAATGACACTGACTGACATCAGCTGAGTAGGTAGCAACACCAAATCAGTGATTATCCATACAGGTGTCACCAGCAACATCTCCACCTGAAAAAGGCGCTCACCTTGGAGCTTCTTTTCTCCAGGCTGGACATCCCCAGCTCTATCTCCAGCCCTTGGAGCATCTCCCTGGCACTGCCCCCATGCCAAATCATCAACCAGGGGAGGTACAAAGCAGTGTGGAAATGCCTCTAACATCACATGAATGACACTGATTTACACCAGCTGAGTAACCATCACAGGCAGAAAACCCTCCCCATCCTGATAAATCTATACTTATCCATACAGATGTCAGCCCCAGCTCTATCTCCAGCCCTTGGAGCATCTCCCTGGCACTGCCCCCATGCCAAATCATCAACCAGGGGAGGTACAAAGCAGTGTGGAAATGCCTCTAACATCACATGAATGACACTGATTTACACCAGCTGAGTAACCATCACAGGCAGAAAACCCTCCCCATCCTGATAAATCTATACTTATCCATACAGATGTCAGCAGCAGCATCTCCACATACTCTCCAGCTCTCTTGGAACCTCTTTAGGTACTGGAAGAAGCTCTAAACTCCCCCTGGAACCTTCTCCTCTGTCTCCAGGGCAGAGCTGCTTCAGCCCTTGGAGCCTCTTCATGGCACTGACCAATTGCCAAATGAGCAATCAGGAGGGGTTTAAATCTCAATGACACTGACTGACATCAGCTGAGTAGGTAGCAACACCAAATCAGTGATTATCCATACAGGTGTCACCAGCAACATCTCCACAGTCACTGTAGGTTGATCATTTAGCAGTAGATTAGCCCAAAGAGTCTATAAAACCTGCCAGAATTCCAGCTCAGGTTTGGAAAGAGAGAATAAAGCACTGACAAGGGAAGGCAGAAGAAAGGAGAATGTTAAATACAGTGATTGAGGTGCTTTGAAGGCAGCTCAGTCCCTCCAAACCACCTGGCCCACACACAAGAGCAAACCATCTGGCATATTGTGCTGTTGCTAAAGCAGAAAGGAACTCCAAGCTCTTCCAGCAAAGGGCAGTGGGAACAGCAAAACCCATGAAAGAGTGGAATTAATGTATGCAGGAACCCAACAATAGGCTCTTTGTCCAGGAGAGGGAATGGCACAGACACACAAACTGGGACTGCTCAGGTTTCAGGGAGAATTGTCTTTTGCAACCTTGGCATGCAAAGCTCTGCCTGGGTAAACTTTAAGTAGAATAGAAGCTCCAATATCACTCTATTGTGGCAACTCCTCCTTAGCCTGTTAAAAGCTTCAGCCTTCCCCATGGATTTTCCATGTGCAGAGAGAACCCAAAGCTGCTGTTGGATAATATGATGTGCAAGAATGATGAGGATTTCTGGACACTGAGTGGAGACAGAGTGAGTTGGAACCTGGGAGAGACATGGAGGTATTTTGGGCCCAGGGTGGGATTGTTGGGGTGTCCTGTGCAGGGCCAGGAGTTGGGATTTGCTGATCCTTGTGGGTCCCTTCCAGCTCAGGATATTCTCTGAGTCTCTGATGTATTTAGGATAGGTTTGTCCATGTCTTCTTGCCCCTGCTGCCACCAAGACCTGTTGGATATTGCAGAGCTGGACACAGCATTGACAGCTTCATCCCACAGTTACCACTGGGCAGAGCATTTTCCTGCCCAGTTTGCTGTGGGATGACATTACAACTCCATAGAATCACAGAATCACAGGATGGTTTGACTTGGAAGGACCTTCAAGATCATCTCATTCCCCTCCTACCATGGGCAGGGACATCTTCCCCTAGCCCAGGTTGCCCAGAGCTCCATCCAACCTCCCTAAGGACAAGCTCTGCTGTAGGAAGATGTACTTATTCCCACATTCCCATTCTGTCCTGGCTAGGAACCCACCTGGAGCTCTGGAGCAAGGTGCCCTCTCCCTCCCTGAGAGCCCAGAGGGATGTTCAGCTTCCCCCTGTGAGTTTCATCAAAATTTCCCACAGTTAAATGAACTTAATGTGGCTTTTTTCCCCCCTCAGCAACAGAACAAACCTCTGGCTCAGCCCTACACACCAAAGAGTCCTCGAGTTTGTCTGTCAGCACAGAAATTAATGAAGTTTGGAGAGGAAAAAGAACAGTTGCTGAGGAGTTTGCCAAGAAAAATGTGTGTAACTTAGGTGCCCTCTGTTGGCATCTGCAAAGCTGATTTTCCTCTTCAAGTTCTCTGAGAAAAAGAAAAAGAGGAAAATGTGTTGTTGGATTTTTATTCTTAGCACAAACAAAGTGCCCAAAAGTCTGTCATGTTGCCAAAAACTCTACCAAACACATAGATTGCAGCTCAGAGGGACTTGAAAGCAAAGTCAGTGTTGCTTCAGGAAAAAGTGTAATTAAAGTTGTTTTAAAAAGGGAGTAGAAATCTCCTGGGCTTGTTCCCTGATTAAATATCCTTCCTATGTGTGTTATGGACAGGATACAGCACGTGGTGAGGAAGGGAGGAAAGGGATGAGTTTCACTCCAGGGAAAAGGAACAGTGTGACCAGTAGGATCAGTGCAGTGATTGTCCCCTCAACTGGGCACTGGGGACACCTCCAATCTGGGGGAAGATCTGGCACTGGAGGATCTGGTTTAGGGCTTAGGAGTTCCAGCAGTGACAGGTTAATGGTTAGACTTGATGATCTTCGAGGTCTCCTCCAACCTTGATGATTATCTGATTCTAAGTTACACCAGGGGAGGTTTAGGTTGGATATTAGGGGACATTTCTCCACAGGAAGGTGCAAAAGACATGTGGATGTGACACCTGGGGACATGGTTTAGTGGTGACCACAGTGGTGGTGTTAGTGGTTGGACTTGATGATCTTAGAGGACTTTTCCAACCCAAAAAATCCCCCAATCCTATATATATAATATTTACACTATTTACTCATGCCAACAACATTAACGAAACTGTGTCTTGCTACATTTGCTTGATCACTTACCCTTTAGGATATTTTCCAGGCCTATTTTATATTCTCTTTTGCAAAGAGCTTCAAGAAAACTATAAGGTTAGAGACATTGGTCAATGAATTGAGAGAGAAGCTTTTTTACCCTCCAGAGATCAACCTGAAGTTTCAATCAGAACTTTAAAACTCCCCTAAGCTCTGAGATCTGACCTAAAAACTCAGCCCTGATGTGATTGAAATACCAGAGCAATGGCACAGTGATAAAGTAAAGGTATTGTTGTCTCTGCTGGAAACTTGGTTAAGGTTAAGTTGTGTCTCTTCCAGGCTCTCAGCTCTGAGCCAAGAGCTTTCATTTCCTTTGATGAGAGAAGCAGCTCTTACTGAAATTCTCCACTGATTCACACTTTGGGGTTTTCCCTCTGAGCTGCAGCTTGCAAAGGCAGGAAATCAGTTGCTTTTCCCATCACCCAACCAGGTGGTTAGAGCCTAGCAGAAAGTGGAACTGCTCGAGGGAGCCCAGAAAAAAGCAAAGGCCACGGGACAAGTTTCCAGGCTAATCAACCTCTGCTCAAGGAGTTTCAGTATGAACTGACACCAACGCAGCACCCACACAAGGCTTGGTCATCTCCCCAGGAGCCTTCCCCAAGCCACTCCAGTCCTCTGGATGCCAAAAGCTGCAGCTTTTTGGCATCTAATGTTGCTGTTTCTTGGCTGGAAATATTTGGCAGCACCAGTTTCCCTGCTGGGTTGATGGGGGGAGAAAGGAGAGGGAAGAGAAGAGAAGAGAAGAGAAGAGAAGAGAAGAGAAGAGAAGAGAAGAGAAGAGAAGAGAAGAGAAGAGAAGAGAAGAGAAGAGAAGAGACAATAAAAAAAATAAAAAGGAAAATTAAAAAAGGAAAAATTAAAGGAAAAATAAGAGAAAGGAAAAGGAAAAAACAAAAAGGAAAAGGAACAAGAAAACCCCTAAGGAACAAACACTACTTTGCAATTTATTAATCACATAAGCACTTGGTTGTATTTTAAAGTTTATTTTCCCTTCTTAAAAGGTCTCAATGAGAAATCTGCTTAAAAACATGAAAATTCCTAGAAGATCCACACAGAGCTGAGAGTAACCATGGCCAATGCACAGAGTTAGCCAGATAGGCTCAGTCTCCTGCTCACCTTAGCTCAGGGAAAGGAAAAGAAAAAGGGAAAGTAAAAAAAAAAAAAGAAAAAGTAAAAGGAAATTTGCCTTGAAATCCAGGATTTTCCTCCAGAACCGGAGGCATGTTAGAGCTCTAGGGACCTTAGGGAGCACCAGCATTAAAGTCAAACAGTTTCAGTAGGGAACATCTGATGACTGAGCAATCCTGGTACAGGTAAAGAACCTGCTCTGGTTCTTTTTCCTCTGGGACAAATGCTAAACCAGCAATCTTGAGTTTTTCCCTGTTTTCCACTGCCTTCCTCCTCTAGAAAGCAGGAGAGAGGAGAGCATTAAACCCAATGTCTTTCCACTACATGATCCTCATTTGAACCATCCATAACTCTCCCTTTGGAATCCAGTGGTCAGTTCCCAAGGATTGCTGAGGGATGGAAGGGAAGGAGGATAAGAATTACTCCCTTTGTTCCCTAGTTTCCCTGGAGGGGATGAGGGGATCAAATGCTGTGAGCATGGCACAGCCTCCCCCAGGCACCTCTGGGCACTGAGTCTGTCCTGAGCAGCTCCTGCTGGGATGGGCCAGGAGAGGATGGAATGGGTTGAGTACCTCAGAGGGTTGAAAAGGGCTTAGGGAAGAGAAGTAGATACAGCTACTATTCCTTATCCATGTGCCTTATTCCCTTAATATGAGCATCAGGACTCGTCCTGGAGGTAGGGATAGCCTGGGAAAAGCTGTGAGTGCCTTCAGGAATAAATGCCAGCCTGAATCAGCAGCTTTTTGTCTCTAAATACCAGGTTTGGTGAGAGGTAACGAAGCCAAACTCTCTCCAAACCAACTCCTCATTGCTATCTACATACACCTCATCCCCTTCCTTCTGTTTTCCTTGGAAAGCTCAGCTCCCCATGCTCCCAGCACCCTGCAGGTTAGCTGAGCTCATTGTAGATTCTGAGAGAGAATATAGCAAAGTGTTCCTTCTGCTGTTTTGTCTCCATGTTCCTCTTCTGGAAACGGGCAGGTCTCCTCTCCTTGGTCCGAGGGTTGTGGAGCCACTGGCAGCCTAGGGAAGTTATGTTCCACATCTGTAGTGAGAACAAGCAAAAGCACTGCACATACAAGAGGTCTTCAGACACATCTGTTAGCTGTTCAGCACTTCTCCAACACAGCCCACAATCCCAGACTGGTTTGGATTGGAAAGAACATTGAAGATCATCTAGTTCCAACCCTCTGGATAGGCAGCCCAGGGTGCTCCAAGCCCCATCCAACCTGGCCTGGAACACTCCCAGGGATGGAGCAGCCACAGCTTCTCTGGGCAACCTGTGCCAGTGCCTCAGCACCTCACAGGGAAGAATTCCTTCCCTATATCCAATCTAACCCAATCTCTGGCAGTGTGAATCCATTTCCCCTTGTCCAGTCACTCCAGGCCCTTGGAAAATCCATCTTTCCTTTAGCTCCTTCAGGCATTGAAGGCCACAATTATGTCACCCCAAATCTTCTCTTCTCCATGCTGAACAATCCCACTGTATGTCTGACCTGTTTGGGGCTTTTTTTCCCCATAAAGTCTCTGTTATTTGGTGGAAGTTTAGCCAGGAAAAAATCCACCAAACCCAACACCAGCATCCTGCTAAAATCCTGCCCTCTAAAATCCAGCACCTTCTCACCTCCATCTCAAGGTCAGGCAAGAATAGAGGTTGGAAGAGGCTGATCTAAGCCCTGTCAGGGGGTTGGACTAGATGATCTCCAGATGTCTCTTCCAACCCCAACTATTCTGTGCTGCATCTGAGTGAAACTAAGTGACCTACCCAAACCCACAGAGTAAATCCATAGTTAGTATTGAGTCAGCTTCATTTCTGCCCTTCAGCCTCACTGTTCCTCCCTGAGGAGCCCCAAGGAGCCCACCCAGGTGTCCTTACCGTCAGCTGTGTAGAGTTTGTCCTTCTTCATGGCCCAGATGCAGAAGTGCAGGAGGAAGGTGAGCAGGATGAGCACAAACACAGCCACAGCTGTGAGGATGGCCAGGATGGAGGTGTACACAGAGTCCTGAGCCACAGGAGCTGGAACACACACAGGGACTGGGAGTGAGACACTGGGGACTGGGAGTGGGGGGAAAGGAGGGAGAGAAAGGGGAGAGGGAAAGGGAAAGGGAAAGGGAAAGGGAAAAGGAGAGGGAAAAGGAAAGGGAAAAGCAAATGCAAAGGGAAAGGCAAAGGAAAAGGGAGAGGGAAAGGGAAAGGCAAAGGGAGAGAGAAAGGGAAAGGGAGAGGCAAAGAGAAGGGAAAGGGAAAACAAAAAGCAAAGGAAAAAGAAAAGGCAAAGGCAAAGGCAAAGGCAAAGGCAAAGGCAAAGGCAAAGGCAAAGGCAAAGGCAAAGGCAAAGGCAAAGGCAAAGGCAAAGGCAAAGGCAAAGGCAAAGGCAAAGGCAAAGGCAAAGGCAAAGGCAAAGGCAAAGGCAAAGGCAAAGGCAAAGGCAAAGGCAAAGGCAAAGGCAAAGGCAAAGGCAAAGGCAAAGGCAAAGGCAAAGGCAAAGGCAAAGGCAAAGGCAAAGGCAAAGGCAAAGGCAAAGGCAAAGGCAAAGGCAAAGGCAAAGGCAAAGGCAAAAGCAAAGAAAAAGAAAAAGAAGAAAAAAATAAAAAGGAAAAGAAAAGGAAACAGAAACAGACACAAACTTGCATGGCAGCAGCTCTGGAGGGTAACTAGGCACCAGCTGAGGAAGCAGAGAGAGAAGCTCCAGGCTGGAAGGGATCAGTCCTGGCCAGCAGGTACCTACCTCTCTCTCTAGCAGGGAAGCTGCACACTGAGTTGTGAGTGCTGTTGCCTTTCTTCACTGTTATGAACCCAAAACTCTCACAACTGGAAGGAGAACAAGAGGCACATTGAGAATGTCCCTGCTCTCCCTTCATCCCCCTCTTTTCCTCCTTTCCTCTCTCTTCCCACAGCTGGTTTCCTTTCATCCCTCATACAGCAGTGCAGCAACAAACACATACTCAGTCCAGTTCCAACAGCAGCCATTCTTCACACTGGAATAGGTTCCTGTCTCACAGGGTTTACACTTGAATGTGAAATCTATTTCACCTACAAGCAAAGAGAATGGGAATCATTAGTGCTCAGTGCCCCTGCTGAAGGTTGGAGATGATACAACAGATCAGAACATGATGTATTCCCTCTACTCTTTGTGTTATGAATCAGCCCCTGGAGAAACCCATCAGCAGTTCTTGCCACCTTGGCATTTTGGGAGGTTTCTGGGTAGCCCCACAGAAAGGCCAACAGGCTCCTGCTGCCTCTTCTAGCAGCTTTGACAGCAAAGTCATACTGAAATTCTGAGCAGGCAAGTGAAAGTCTCACATTTAAGGGAAGAGCTCTAAACAGGGAAGCAAAGAGGTTAGTCACAGAGCCCAGGACATAAATGCCATTTCTCTCCAGCAGTTAAACTTCATGGTTGGACTTGATGAGCTTGGAGGTCTCCTCCAACCTGGATGACTCTATTCTCTGACCTTGCCCAAAGCAGGTAGTGCTGAGTGAAGGAAATGGGAGGTGAAGTGAGGAGCTAAGGCTCAAGCAGACACTTCTCTCGAGCTCTGGCCCCAGAGGCATGTGTGTTTGGGTAGTTACCGATCTTGACCAGCTCCTCCCCCTCGGCACACTCTGGCAGCTTCTTGCAGTAGAGACAGTGTTGATCAGCACAGCTGTAGCCCTGCAGGCACTTGCACTTGTGGTCCTCAGAGTCAAGACATGTGCTGTTGTTTCCTGGCCAAGAGAAAAGACTGAGATTTGCCTTTTGCCAGCAATTCACCTTCCCATGTGGCTGATAAAGGGGAAATAATTCCTTACTGGCATAAATGGGTACCAGAAAGGTGTCACTCCCATCACATGGGTAATGGTTAGAGCATCCAAAATCTGTACCACTCACATTTTCACACCTAAGCACTGTGTGATTTAGCACTGTAACACTTTCACCTGCAATCTCAGGGAGGATGTGGCAGACAGAAGGAAGGAGCAGGTTTGCTTTACTACAGTGGAATTTAGACAGTGTGGGGTAAGGAAGACACTGGCAGCACCCCAAGGAAGCACCACACACTTCCCAACCAGCACATAGCTCTCAGGACACTGCCAGAGCTCTCCTCAGTTGGGTTAGAGGAGAGATGACCAAAACATCCTTTGCCCAGTGGAGCTGGAGCTCCTTTTCCTGCCTTTCCTACCTGCAGCTGCTTCCTACACTCTGTTGGCAGAAGTGGGGCTAAATCTAAGCCATTAAACCAGCACCTTTCCCACCCTCTGTTCTACTATTTCTACAAGAGTCCTGTTGAGAGCTTTGCTTGCATTCAGAAATACCATCCCTAATTCTGAGAGGCTCCTTGGAAGCAAAGGACAGATCACATATCCTGATCCCATCAGTAAACAACATCAAGTAGTCCTTGAGGCTGTTAAAAAGTTCTGTTCAACCCTGAGGCTGTACAACCTTAAAGAACAAAACCTAGAGAGGGAAATGCTGCCTGGTTCAAGAGTGTGCTTAAAAACCCACGGAGACTAGCAAAGATCAAACCAAGATTATCTGCTGAGATGAGTGATGTACAGGGTGACCAGAAAACTGCCCACGTCTTCCTCTGCCAAGTGTCCTCCTCTCAGTGGCCTTCAGAGCTGTCTGCAAACAGCTTGGGGATGTTTCTGGCTGAAAATCCCCCATTGGGAAGCTCTGGCTGCCACAATGGGCAGCAGTAAATGAGGAAGAATGGAATGATTGCTCCTGGAACCACGGAAGAGGCTGTGAGAATCACCTGATCTGTCCTTCAGTCTAACAGGGACAGAAATGTCAGCCAGTCAGTCCTGCCTGTTCCATGCTTTAATATGACATAAAATTACAGGCAAGTTACAGAGACTCACTGAATGGTCAAAGATTATCTATTTCCATCCCTGCCATGGGCTGGAACACCTCCCACCAACCCAGGTTGCTCCAAGCCCCATCCAACCTGGCCTGGAACACTCCCAGGGATGGAGCAGCCACAGCTTCTCTGGGCAATCTGTGCCAGTGTCTCACCACCCTCCCAGGGAACAATCTCTTCCCATTATCCAATCTAAACCTTCCCTCTAAATCCATCCCATCCACCACCATCCTAAGACAGCTGAGGATACAGGTTGGAACAGACTGTTAGAACTAATGATCACTTGAGACCTCCTTGTCTGTGCATTCACTTGTGGGATGAATGTTGTTCCCTCAGGTCCTGTCACTGCTCACCAGAGACCAATGCCACCCCTCCCAAGGATCTGAGCCACATTCTGGATTCAGGGAGCCAGAGGGAAACCCTTGGCATTTTTCTTCACACATACATTACTCAAGGTCCATTTTCCCACACAAACCTGTCGCCCACACTTTGACATAAACCCCTCCTGACCAACACAACAAGACACACACACCTCATGCCCTTACCTGCGACTGAGCTGCATTTGGGGCAGGATTTCTTGCCATCCTTGGTGCTGACTCTCTGCTCACCATCCCTGCACAGTTGGCCCACACTTTGCTGTGTCCAGGAGCACAGGCACAGCACCAGCATCAGGCACACCTGGGGCTTGGGATACCCAACTCTCTTCATCTGGCCACTCATGCCTGGAGAGATACAACCCCAAACCACACCAGGATGGGCTGCTGACAGCACTTCCCTGCCCAAGAGCTCTGTTCTGTGCCCCTGAGGGAAGGTGCTGGGCTTTTTGTGGCTGTACTCTTCCTGCTTGGTGAGGGGCGGAGAAAGGGGGTGACTCTACGTCATCTTAAACCAGCAGAGCTGAGGAACCACACACCAGTGGCTCCAGAAAGGGAAGCAGCAGGTGAAGAGCAAGATGTGGCATCAGGGAATGTGATTTTTCAAAGGGGTTTGCAAGTGGATGGACAATGAGAATGAAAGGAAATGAATTTAGTGTGTGAATTGAGAGCACTCAGAGTATTTTATTCATAGAATCAAAGAATGGGTTGGGTTGGGAGGACCTTAAAGATCATTTTATTCCATCCCCAGGGACACCTTCCACCAGCTCAGGTTGTTCCAAGCCACATCCAACCTGGCCTGGAACACTCCCAGGGATGGAGCAGCCACAGCTTCTCTGGGCAATCTGTGCCAGTGTCTCACCACCCTCCCAGGGAGGAATTTCTTCCCAATATCCAATCCAAGTATCCTCTCTGTCAGGTTGAAGCCATTCCCCCTTGTCCTGTCCCTCCATGCCCTTGGAAATAGTCTTTCTCCATCTTCCCTATATCTCCTTCAGGCACTGTAAGGCCACGATGAGGGCACCCCAAAGCTTCTCCTCTCCAGGCTGAACAATCCCAACTCTCAGCCTTTCCTCCTAGCAGAGCTGCTCCATCCTCTAATCACCTTGGTGTCTCCTCTGGCCTCACTCCAACAGACCAAGTTCCAGCCTAGAGTTTCTAATGAATGTAGAATTTTTCAGATGAACATAGAAACCTTTCAAGGCTTTAACCACCAGATTGTAATGTAGAGCGAGTCCATCCATCCACTCAGATCTTCTGATTCTCCTATTTGCTTTCAGGTTCTTCCAGCTGGAAACTCAAATTATTTTCCAGAGCTGATGTAACTCCATACCATGAAAGCAAGAGAAGGAATTCTACCTTCCTGAAGGATCAACCCTTGGTCCCAGACTGAAAACAGCTGCACTGGGCTCTAGAGACACATGTCCTGTGGCCTCACACCTCTGGGATTTGGGTGACAACACTTGCTCAGCAAAATTCTAAATAGACCCAAACTCATCACCTGCAGCTGAGTTTCAATTCCCCAGTGTCTTACACAAACACACAAACTTCCATCTCTGCCTTCCATGCATTCAGTTTGCTTCTCCTCTGCCCTTCTACTTCCCCTGTTCTCCAGATTTGCTCCTATCCCTGTAGCTTGTGGTGGCTTTTATGTGTGCACAGTGCAGACAGGAGCTAAAATCCATCCTCATTCCCCACTGAACAGATGATTCTGATGCAGAACAGCCTCGAGGCAAGGGAGAGTCAGAGCTGTGAGGAGAACTTCTGGAAAATGCCATGCCTACAACTCTTGCCACTTGCCCTGCTAATTCCTAAGCTTAACAGGCATCCAGTGAAGTCTGAATAAACTTCAGGTACAACAAACTGGTAATTCAGGTGCTGAATAAACTTCAGGTGCCATAAAATGGTGTTCACAAGGCACCATGACTCTTCTTTAGTGTGTTCCACACTTTCTTCCTGAAGATTCACTTACAGATCTCAAAGAATAGGTCAGTCACACACTCTTCACTTAGTCTTTGGTCTATTCCACCTGTGTTCCTGCCATGGACAACCAGACAGATTTAACATGCAACAGCCACTTCTAGTTTAAAAAACTCTTCCTGTAAAGCTGCTTGTGTTCTCAAATGTGCCAAGTGAAATCTTTGCATCAAAGGGTGACATCCAAGCGAGCTGTGAGCAGCCAAGGGACACTGTCTCTCCCATCACCTTTCCCCACATCATGCCCTGAGTAGGCCAAATGTTGTGCTCCAGAAACTAAAAGGCTTTGTAGTTCTGCCAGACAGGAGATCCCCTGCTCTTCCCACACAGTTCTGCTCCTCTCTTGGCACAGCCTGCAGCTCTGCCACCGTGCTGGAAGCTCAGACAGGCTGCAGCTGCTGTCCAGCTGGCTATGGGGAAGCCTGGACACCCCAAAATCAGGATTCCTCCTCCAAAACAGCAGAACCACGAGGGTTTCACAGCACATGTCCAGGGAAAGTTTGCAGGGGTTGGGCAGGTGCTGCCCTGTGCTCAGCAGCATTGACTGTGCTTTGAATAATCTCCATGGGATGGGGAATCTTGTAACTAACAGAAACACTCGAGGAGCAGAAGAACTTGCTCTTCAAACCAAATCTCCTGATGCCTTACCTTCCTCATCTTTATCACTATTCATAGAGTCATGGAATGGTTTGGGTTGCAAGGGACATTGAAGAGCATCCTGTTCCACCCCCTGCCATGAGCAGGGACACTTTCCACCAGCCCAGGTTGCTCCAAGTTCTCTTCAGCCTAGTCTGGAACACTCCCAGGGATGGAGCAGCCACAGCTACTCTGGGTAACCTGTGCCAGTGTCTCAGCACCTCACAAGGAACAACTCCTTCCCAGTATCCAATCCAAACCTCCTCTCTGTCAGTGTGAAGCAATTCCCTGTGTACTGTCCCTCCATGCCCTTGGAAATAGCCTCTCTCTGTCTTTCCTGTAGCTCCTTCAGGCACTGGTTGACCATGATTAAGTCACTTTGGATGCTTCTCCATGCTGAACAACCCCAACTCTCTCAGCCTTTTCTCACAGCAGAGCTGCTCCATCTTCTGATCACTTGCTGCCTCCTCACATCCACACTACACTAGTGTGTAGTGGTTCCAGTGGCTATTCCCCTGGAGCCCAATGATGGACACCAATGACCAGCACTGCCTAAACACCAAAGAGGAACATTAATCAGCCTTTTGCCCAGTGTCACACACAGAGCAGCAGAGAAAGGAGCTCTGAAGGCCCCACATGGGCAGGTGGGACAGGAGGGACCTCCACGCCTGGCAAGAGCTGCAGGCAGTTGGTCTCTGTGGTATCTCACACCTGGTGTTTATCAGAGTAGGAACAACTAATTTATTTATTTCTATCTTTTTTTGGACTTATTTTTCTTCAGGTTGTTCTTTTTCCTACTTGACCTCTACATGTTTTCATTCTTGTTCAAGCATTAGATACTGTCAGATGATGGAACATTTACAGTCAGATCACAGGCTACACTTGTTCAAGCCAAGCCTAGATCTCTAGAGTCAGCAGTGACCTTTCAGAGACAATCTGACTATCTGGCTTTGAAATCTTTGGGGTTTTTCTATAATTAACCTTACCTGTCTCTGCTGGAAGGTAATAACGTTTCATCTGTCAATTCCCTTCACGCTCAGACCCCAAATGCAGCAGCTCAGTTCCCACCTTGACCTCCACAGGGGAAAGGATTCTCTTCCAGCCACCTCTGTCCATCCCCAAACATGGCTCAGGGTAAATTAAGGCTGAAACATAAATGCACACTGTGATGGAACAGAGAAAAAATGTTACAGATCTCCTAATCCCTTCTCCCTCCTCTGGGCTACCATGACTTGAGCAGGTAACACTAGGAGTGCTCAAGGATGAGATCTCAAGGAAGAATCAATGGATTTTTTTCCCCCCACTTAAGTGCACTGATGTGGCATTTAGACCTCTGTTTTCAGGGCATTAAAGACACACAGAAATATCCTCAACCAGATGTACATTCCAAAGAGTATTTGTAGAAGTTGGAACCAGGTGGGTTTGGCATCTTCTCCCAGGGAACAAGTGACAGGAGGAGAGGAAATGGCCTCAAGTTATGCCAAGGAAGGTTCAGGTTGGACATTAGGAGGAATTTCTTCATGGAAATGGTTGTTAGGCATTCAAAATGCCCAGGGAGGTGGTGGAGTCACCAATCTTGGAGGAGTTCAAGGAACAACTGGAGGTGGCAGTCAGTGCTCTGGTCTAGCTGACAAGGTGGTGATGGTTCACAGGTTGGACTCGGTGCTCTTAGAGGTCTTTTCCAACCTAAATGATTCTGTGATCTGGCTGTGTATTCTCCTTTTGCCCACCTTAAGGACACCCAGCCAGGAGCTGAACATCACACACCAGTTGTGCTGGAGGCCACTGCAGCCACCAATTTGCTGAACTGTCCAGATGACTAATCTTTTGGAAAGAACAAAGGCAAAGCCCAAAAAGCATCACAACCACTTCTCAAACACGTCACCAGCTCTTGTGAGTCCAGTGGCTTCACTGTCACCCCTTGGACTCTACGTCAGCAGTGAGAATTGTTACCTGGGACAGCATCTGGTTTCCTGCCAAGGAGATTTTGCTGATTACCTATCATGGGAGACCAAAGAAGCTCTGTAGTTCTTCTGTTCACAAGAAATCTATGTAATTTCTCAGTGACTAATGGTATCTGTCAGATCAGTGTATAAATTGCCTTGTAAGCTCCATATGGTTTTCAGCCCACTGTAGAAAACTCCATGACTACCCTCCAGGATTTGGCATCCTGTTGTAGGGAACTTGTCTGTGCCCTTGGGAAACAACTGTCCATCAGTCTTTAATTGAAAAGCCATTTCCAATGGCAGCTAGAAGAGATGTTAGTCACAGGAGGTGATTTGTCACACCAACCTAGAGCAATGAAGTTGGTGAAGGGTCTAGAGAGTAAGTCATGAGGGAGCTGTGAGGGTTCAGCCTGGAGAAAAAGAGGCTCAGGAGGGACCTTATTGCCCTCTACAACTCCCTGACAGGAGGTGCAACCAGTTCTCCCAGTTAACAAGTGACAGGATGAGAGGAAATTACCTCAAGCTGCGCCAGGAGAGGTTCAGGTTGGACATCAGAAGGAATTTCTTCACAGAAAGGGCTGTCAGGCATTGGAATGAACTGCCCAGGGAGGTGATGGAGTCACCACCCATGGAGGAGTTCAAGGAACAACTGGACATGGCCCTTAGTGCTCTGCTCTAGTTGACAAAGTGGTGATGGGTCAGAGGTTGGACTTGATGAGCTTGGAGGTCTTTTGCAATGGTTCTGTGAACCTGTGGTGGTGAAGCCTGTGAGCTCTGAGGGGCTGCAGGAAGCACAGAGGAACACACAGAGCATGAGGTGCTGGTCAGGACTGCAGGCAGCACAGGGTGAGGGTGGCACAGGGACATCAGCTCCCTAGAAGGACACCAGGGTTAGTGACAGCTCACCTTGTGCTGTGGTAAAAAACCTGAAGGGCAATGGTTCTGTGAACCTGTGGTGGTGAAGCCTGTGAGCTCTGAGGGGCTGCAGGAAGCACAGAGGAACACACAGAGCATGAGGTGCTGGTCAGGACTGCAGGCAGCACAGGGTGAGGGTGGCACAGGGACATCAGCTCCCTAGAAGGACACCAGGGTTAGTGACAGCTCACCTTGTGCTGTGGTAAAAAACCTGAAGGACAACTTATCTACAACCTGAAACTAGAAGAAAAATATGTTGTGTTCCTTCCAGCTCTGCTTTTAGGCTAGTCCTGAGGTTTTGCAGTGGCAGGACTGACTTACCCCTGGAATTTTCAACTCCTGGAGTCTTGCAGTGGTTAATACCTGCCCTTTTTGGCACTCAGGGAGAACCACTGCCCTGCAAACCTGCCACAGGTGACCCATGGGGCAACCAAGGTGGCAAAAGTGTTGTGGTGCCACACACAGGTTCCTGAGATGAGATAAATCTTCACCCCCCAAAACCATTAGGGCTTTGCAAGGAACCCTGGATCATCCCTAAGGAGCCACTCTGCCTTCTCCTGTGGAAGGAGTCACCTCTGTGGGCTCCAAAATCAGTGATTCCATGTGATCTCAATGGCACAGAGCCCAGGTAGGAACACACCTGACAACCACAGAGGGAAATCAAACCACAGAGAGGCAAATCCCCCAAGCTCAGGACCTAACCAAGCTGAGTTTCTCCTGCCCAGCTTAGCACCTGGCACAGTGTCTGACACTGATATTTCTTACATCGTGGCAAACCTGACTCATGCTGAAGGTCTTCTGAGGCAGAGGAGGATGTGAAGAGAAAACGCAGGAGATAAAGGATCTAGTGTAGCTACAGTAACAGAAACTCGTCAGAGGTTGGCAGGGGAAACCCAAAAAGGCAAAGGAAGTGAACATAAAAAGCATAAAAGTCACAGATCTTGGGGATATTTTTTTAGCTCTTTTTTTCCTTAAAAAAACCCTCTTATAATAACTACTGAAATATGCAATGTGTTAACTGCCAAAACTGCAATCTGATAGGAGTGTTCAAGAACTGCAAATCTCAGCTCCAATGTGGCTCATCAAATACTGTCTGTTCTCACCCCAAACTTCCTCCAGAACTGAATGCAGAAAAAAACCAACTTCATTGAAACAAATATTCCTGATAAAACTCCTCACAGAGAGAGAAAAATACTGTGAATAGAAATCCTGAAGGGAAGAGGAGTTGAGGTTTTGCTTGGTTTTACTGCTTGGTAGCAATCTAACCTCTGCAGCTAATCACACACACTGCAAGGGGTTGGTTTAGCTGAAAGAAGTCAAATTATGCATGGAAAAATGACATTATTCTCATTGAAATACCAAATGAGAGGAGTTGGATGTTAGTTTTACAGATGAATCTTAAAATGGTCATGAGGCCACGTCTCAGTGGTAATGTTCAAGCAGTTTGTATGTGCCTCAGGATGTCCCAAAGCAGCACAGCCCCTCGTTATCAGCTCAGGTGGAGCCTCAGAGATCAGATTGTGCCTCTCAAGGGCCTGAAAAAGGGGAAATCTGCCTGGCTGAACAGCAGGAGCTCAGTGCGTGACCCAGGCCTGGCTCTGAGCAGAGAAAGTTTCACTTCTGGCATGGAGGAAGCCAAGTGTGGGCAGAAAGCAGCACCAAAGGCCTTCAAGAGGTTTTACTATTGTTTAACTACTTCCTGACACTTTAGGGAGGAATGGACCAAAATACCCAAGTAAATTTTTTCCCAGACAAGACTGAACATGACAATTAAAAAAACCCTCTGCTATTCCTTAATTTACAGTGAAATATCTGTGTTAGTTTATTTAAACCTACCAACACCCAAACCCTCAAATCAACTCATAAATCAGAGAATCCCACAATGGTTTGGGTTGGAAGGACCTTAAAGATCATCTACTTCCAACCTTCTTTCAAGGGATATTTTCTACTAGCTCAGGTTGCTCCAAGCCACATCCAACCTGGCCTGGAACACTCCCAGGGATGGAGCAGCCACAGCTTCTCTGGGCAACCTGTGCCAGTGCCTGAGCACCTCACAGGGAACAATTCCTTCCCAATATCCAATCTAAACCTCCAAGAAATGCCTCCAATCCTCTCAAATGTTATGATTTTAGTATTTTGATGGGATTTAACAGCACACTGAGGGGATACA